AAAAGTTTTCTGGTTTAATGATTTGTTTAAAGAATTGAAGAATATTCATTTTCATTTTAGTGTAATGTTTGAATTTTTCTGGAATATCTTTCTGTTTCTTACAGGGAGCTTGTTAGATTTCCTTAAAGAAGGAGATGGAAAATATTTGAAGCTTCCACAGCTGGTCGATATGGCTGCTCAGGTAGTTGCATATATATATATGTCAATTTGAAACAAAAGCATATGCTTAGAATGTAGAAAAATCTTAGTATAATATTAAAATTGGTGCAATGAACTACTAGAATTTTAGAAGAGGAAGGAACATTGGAGGTGTTTCAGTGTGAGCCCCTTAGTAGCTGAGCTAGTATTAGAATATGATAGCTCTTCCTGTCAGGTGCTTCCACAAATACAATTTATGTATTTACATTTCAGCAAATAAGTTTAAGAAAATTATGATGGGCTGAGAGGTAGTGGTACACATTTATAATCCCAGCACTCAGGAGGTAGAGGCAGGCATTTGAGGCCAACCTGTTCTACAGAATGAGTTCCAGGATAGCCAGGGCTACAGAGAGAAACCCTGTCTCCAAAAAAAAAAAAAAAAAGAAGAAGAAACAAAACGATAATTAAGATGATGAGAATTATTCAAAATATTAAACCTGAAAGTATATGCTGAAGTTCTTTTGTTTATTATAGTCTAAGACAAGAACTCAGATAATATACAAGTAAGAATTAGTCTTGTGTACTTTTGAATTTTTGTTGCAAAGTTTCTATTAAGATAGAGGATAAGTATTGAAGGCACCATTTATTGCCTTCAGTTTATGAGCTTCCGCAGTGTAGGCAGAAGTTTCTGTCCCTCCAGAAACTCACAAATACACGGCAGCTGCTTCCCAAATTACCACACAGAGGCTTATGTTAATTTAAAATGTTTGGCTGATAGCTCAAGCTTGTTACTAGCTAACTCTTACATTTAAATTAACCCATATTCCTGTTTATGCTTTGCCACATGGCTCATGGCTTATTACCTCATTTTTTTGAATGCCCTGCTTGTTTGGCACCTGACTGACATCTTTCCTGACTCTGCCCTCCTTTACATTATTTTCAGTTTGTCTTTCCCATCTAACTTCCTGCCCAGCTACTGGCCTGTCAGCTTTTTATTAGCCAATGAGAGTAATACATATTCATAGTGTAGAAAAGAATTGTTCCACAGCATTTCTCCCTTTTTGTCTAATTAAAAAGGCAAGTTTTAACCTTAATATGGTAAAACTATATACAACAAAAACAGTTATTAAGTAAGAATTACAATAATACTATCTAATCCATTTGCCTTTGGCAAAATTAGAGAAAATACTTAATTTTCTGTCTTGGTGAGTCTAAATTTTTGTATCTAATTTACTTTGTATTATAACTAAGGAAAACTATAACTACTTAGTCTTCAGCTCTATAAAAGACCTTAGAAGAGTGAAATGTTACCTAGTGACAAGGACATCAGACTGCCTGGACAGTCACCCAAAGTTCTGCTGTAACATTGGGGCATCTGACCTACAGGCCTAGCATATCTGTCAGACTTTCCTGTGAAGCAGGGAATTTTGAAGGGCTTGTCTTTTTGCAAAGTTCAGCAGTGACCTTTCTTGTGTCCTGTTGGTCCAGTTTGGACAGTAACTGTCAACAGTTGAGGCAAGGGCAGTTTCTTTGCCCACATGGCTAGCTTTTGCCATAAAGAAAACAAACTCCATATGGAGTTTTTCAATACCCATCATCCTCTTTGAAGTAATTGGTGCTGCCAAGAGCAGATGTGTCTCACTGTTTAGAAAAGGCTGAGTTCTTAAAACATTTTAAATGCCATATTCTTTAGGTCTTTGAAGTGTTTGAAGAGTGCCTATCTACCTGAAGTGTATCTCTGTATAACCTTGAAAACCTAACTAACATGACTGTAAGCTTGCTATTGTAGATAACTATTAATCTGTGTTTCTTAATTATATATTGCATTTTAAGTGAGCTGCAAAACACAATACTTTAAACAAGAGTAGAAATATACATATTGTATAACAAAATTAACTTTAAATTTATATCAATAAACCAAAATCCATACTAATGTAAGATTAATAGTATTACAGTAGATTCAATAGTCTATCCTTTTATCCTGTCTTTTCTATATCCTCCCTTTTTCTTTTCAGAACAAGATCCCTGAATCTAATCTCCTTTGTTTAGCATTTTTTTCCTGACCATTATCCATAACAACTTGTAACCAACCCCCCTGAATGATGACAAACATTCATAATTTATTTTGGGGGTGTAGTTCTTTATACTACTTCCTGTTGACTAGTGCCTTTGGTAATCTTTGGGGGACTCTGAGAAAATTAAGGATTGTGGGCAAGTCCTGACTAGAGTATTCTGTGAGACTGGATCATCTCAGTCAGCAGCTTTGAAGCTGTTCTGGATGTAGGACTCAGAGGAAGCTACAACAGAGGCACTCTGAAACATTTGATCATCTGGGCCATCCATTCCCATTGGAGACTTTAAGGGGGTCTTCCTCGATCACACCTGATTTTTCTTAACCCAGAATGAATCCACAGCCTCACATTTTCTGTGGAAATAAAAGCAGAAACTCTTTCCCAAAGTAACATATTTTTTGACTCAATTTTGAAGTCAGGATATTTTAAAAATATATAGGTTGGTTTAATCTAGTAGCTTTCACGATAAAATGTCTCTCAGCAATTATTTGTTCATTAGCAGTAAAAAAAATTAAAGATAACATAATAACATAGTATCCAGACTCTCTGTGTATTTTCCATCTTTGTGTCTTTTTTTATTACTCTGTTTTTAAGGACTTTTTCTACTCTTTTTTCTTTCTCTCTCCCAAGCTCACATATAGTTTTAAACACACTGTGACCCGTTCAGAGTTTTTTTCCATCTGAATCTGTCTTTACTGTGTATCTGTAACCTTTTCTGTCTACATAAGCAAAAAAAAAAACTTCTGTGTAACTTGGATCATGGCGTTCTAATGCTGGCTCCTCCCCTCAGTTCCCTAGAGGCTAGCCTCATGGCGGAGGCACATTTACCGCCAGCTCTGAGTGCCATGTTTACTGCCTCAACTCTGGGAAGTTTCTAGGTCCACGCTGTCACTGAGTATCATGCTGCTCTTAAATACCATATAAGTGTTTGGCAGCAGGGCCTTTTAAAAGAGCCACTTATTTTTGCCACTAGCCCTGAGCCAGAAAGTTGTCTCCTAGAGCTGCGCCTCTGCTCACCGCTAACATGTAGAACCCACCTGAGAAAAGGCAGCTACCAAGAAGTCGTGCTTGACTCCATTCTTGTGTGTCTAGAATCCTTTTTGAAGCTTTGTCAGGTTTTATGTGGAAATTTTGGCCCCACGTTGGAATGCCATATGTAGGCAGAAGTCTGTTCCTCCAGAAATTCCCAAATACTCAGCAGCTACTTCCCAAATTACCACATAGAGGCTTATATTAATTAAAAATGCTCAGCCGATAGCTCAGGCTTGTTACTAGCTAACTCTTACACTTAAATTAACCTACATTTCTATTTATGCTTTGCCATGTGACTCAATGGCTTGTTTCCTCTTTTTTTTTTTTTTGAATGTCCTGCTTGTTTGGTGGCTGGCTGGCATCTCTCCTGACTTCACCCTTTTTCCCATCATTCCCAGATTGGCTTTCCTGCTTAACTTCCTTCTCAGGTACTGGCCTGTCAGCTTTTTATTAACCAATGAGAGTAATACATATTCATAGTGTAGAAAAGGATTGTTGCACAGCACTGTGGCTCTTACCTGTCAGTGAAAGTCCACACATCCATAGCATCTGTTAAGGTAGACAAACTTCAGAGGAGACAGGCATATGCCAGACCCTGCATTCAAGGCTCTTAGTCACCTTCTCTTAGAAAAATGGCAGACCTTTTAGGCTTTGCAAGCCACATACAAACTCTGTTGGGCCTCATTAGTTTTCACAGCCCTTTAAAAAAAAATGTAAAAGCCATTTTTTTTTTTTAACACTTCTCAAGGCATGTGAAAACAGGCTGTGGCCACATCTGACTTATAAGCTATAGTTTGTTGGTGCTTCAGTACCTTAGATTGTGTCTGGTATCGACCGTGTGAGTTTTTCTACAGAGACTGTAGACTCCATCCTCTTGTGATGCCCTTCTTCTGACCATTGACAAGACAGTAGGACATTGTGCTGGTCATGATCACTGGATATACTCTGGGCATAAAATACTGATCTTCAAAATATATGTTGATTGTTTTTTCCTTGCAGTGTTAGGGATATAAAGATTAATTTAGCCTTTTTTTAATTATAGTTTTTTTCTGTTGTCTTATGGACTGTGTCTGTTGCTATAATTTTTTTAACTACATAATTTTTCAACAGCCCCTTTAATTTAAACAAAATTTTCCCCTTTGTATCATATATTTTGCCTCTCATTTTGTTTCCTCTCTTAAGATTGCTGATGGTATGGCGTATATTGAAAGAATGAACTACATTCACCGAGATCTCCGAGCTGCTAATATTCTTGTAGGAGAAAATCTTGTATGCAAAATAGCAGATTTTGGCTTAGCAAGATTAATTGAAGACAATGAATACACAGCAAGACAAGGTAAAATAACATACATAGATGCTTATAATCTAGTGCCCTATACTTGTCTTACTTAACATTGTTTTGAACACCCAGGACTTGATGCAATATACTAATAGTTATCCAGCTTCTTGCCTAGCTGGGCTGTCACCAGGGTAGGATGTGGATGCAAGCGCTTTTTGTTGTGGGAAACAGGGCACAGCTAGGTAGAGAGACTACCTTTTTCCTTAGCGTGTAACATGCATGTTTATGTGGGCCTGGCAAGAAACTATCTGTAGACTATGTGCTTTTGTGTTAGTGTTCCCCATGTAGCAAAGCCATCTATGAGATCTGTTCAAGGTCAACAAGATTTTGGGGAAAAGGGATCAGGAAGATGGCTGAGCAGGTAAAAGACACCTGAAACTCTTGAGGAGGGAGAAGTGAGAAATATTTAGATAGAAGGATAGAGGGGAAAGAGACAGGTAGAAACACAGGATAGCTTGGGGGGACCTGGATCCTTATCCACTGGCCCCTTCTGTTTCTTCTAAAGGGCTTTTTAAAGGAATGCCAAGGGGCAGGGCAAAAGACCTCTCTTGGCTAGATCAAAGCATACCACACATCAAGTGCAGACCCATGCACCATGCACGTGGTCAAGCAATCCTCTAATGCAGCTCTGCTGGGTAAAACAAGCTCAGATCATACTAGGAAACCTTTGTGGGCATCTACAACTCCCCCTTCTTGATATAAAAAAGGTCCCCCCAGGCCCCTCAGATAGACTGCGCCTGTGTTAGTTTGCCCTCCTTGATAGATCTTCCTTACCTGTCATGGAGATACACTTTCCATCAAGCATACTCTGCCTTAGGTTGAAAGCTATCAAGAAGAAAGTTGCCTGTCTTTGCCAGGCTCTGGCAGGAGGGGATACAGAGCTTGCAAATATCCACAGTGATCTCCATAGCTGCTACACCTCCCAGTAAAGAAGTAGAGGATAATGAAGATGGAATGTCTTTCTTGGAATGGGTCTAAGGTGATTACAGCAGTCTTAGCTGGATCAAGCCCTTTTCCTGGATCAAAACTCTCTTCTAACAGATGTTCAATAAAACATTCAAGAGACTATTTTGATTCCCAGGAGAAAACAGTCACGTCAAACCATTTCAAAGTGTCCACTCAAGTAAACAAAAACTATGCTAATTATAAAGACACTTGTACAAATTCGATTATAGGAGGCTTATCCCTTTGTGGGAAGCCTACCCCTTTCTAAACAGAAACAGGAGTGGAAACTTCTAGGAATAAGACAGAAAAACTCCCCTAATTATGACTTCAGTTAAGTTTTCCAGGGGCTACTGAGATCGTAAAATTGTATTTTAAACTTTTTTAAAAAGTATTCAGCCAGGCGGTGGTGGCGCACACCTTTAATCCCAGCACTTGGGAGGCAGAGCCAGGCAGATCTTTATGAGTTCAAGGCCAACCTGGGCTACAGAGTGAGTTCCAGGAAAGGCGCAAAGCTACACAGAGAAACAAAAAAAATTTTTTTTTTCAAGACAGGGTTTCTTCATGTTGTTTTGGTGCCTGTCCTAGATATCGCTCTGTAGACCAGGCTGGCCTTGAACTCACAGAGATCCTCCTGGCTCTGCCTTCTTAATGCTGGGATTAAAGGTATGCACGACCACCACCCGTCTTCAAAGGGATTTTTAAAGGAATGCCAAGGAGCAGGGCAAAATACCTCCCTTTGTTAGATCAAAGCATGCCACACATCTGAGTGCAGACCCTTCCAAACACCTGGTAACCCTGCATGTGGCCAAGCAATTGCTAATGCAGCTCTGCTGGGTAAAGCAAGCTCAGGTCTCACTAGGAAACCTTTGTGGACCTCCTCAACACACACTTGACACAGTAAGCACACAAAAGTCAGAATACAGCCTGGGGCTTTACTCTCCCATCTTGAGATTGGGTTCCTTGTTTCCCAGGATAAGTGCCAGATTTAGCTGTCTCTAAGCGTCCTGACATTTTCCTGTTTCCAATTACCCTCTCATTGTAAAAGCACTTGGATTACACACACAAGTTACATGGGTTCTGGGAATCCAAACTCAAGTCCTCATGGCTGACAAGCACTTGACCCAATGAGCCATCTCCCTTGTCTCAGATAAATGTTTTCTTTTTTTTTTTTTTTGGTTTTTCGAGACAGGGTTT